TCTCTGTCTCTGTCTCTGTCTCTGTCTCTGCCTCTCTGTTTGGCCGCCTAGCCGCCTCTCACAGCCGACGCGTCTACTGGCTGCCCTCCTGCGGCCATTGGTCTGTCTCGCTGACCTGCTCGGCCGGGAGGCCAGTGCGTCTGGCTGTCTGGCTACCGTCGGCCCGTCCGCCTGCCTGCCTGCTCGCGTGGCTGAGACTCGCGCCTCGAGTCGCAGTCAGGACGGGCCGGGACTCTGGTCATAAACCCACGCCTGCCATGGCGACGTCTGCGTTAACCAACCAACAAATAAACAAACATAAAAACAAAACACGAACTAATAAACAAACAAACAAACAAACAAATCTAAAACAAAAAACTAACAAACAAACAAACATAAAAACAAAAAACAAACAAACAAACACTAAAACAAAAACACGAACAAACAAACAAACAAACAAACATAAAACAAAAAACAAAAAACGAACAAATAAACATGCATAAATACAACAAAAAGGATATCCAATCGACGTAATTCCTGATCGTTTTATCGTAACCCTCGATGTTGTCCTCAATGTTGCCCTCGTGGCTGCCAAAACTGTCTAGTTGCCAGGCGCAAGTGTTTACCTGTTCTGAGTGTTGTCACGACCCGCTTCCGGGGCTCCCACCCACCACCCCTCTTTATCATACCCAGAGAAGACGGCCCTTCTCACCGGTGCTTGCTACCGGAATTGTCTCCAAATGGCACCAACCGACGAGGCAACTGGCATAAAACATGGTCACATCGTTCACGACTAACGCAAAGATGATATGCCCAAGTTGTTGAAGCAAACGACCGTTGGCCGTTTTGATGAGTCCTCTTTTCGTTGACATGTTTGTTCAGTTTTGTTTTAAAGGCATAATTTTTTTATTTAGTCAACTCAAAAAGAAAACAGGTCTACATGCATATTTATATTCGGAATGAGCATGCCTCAAGAAGATAAGCGATTATTTAGTAACAGTTTATAAACCTAGCCGCGAATACTACTCACATAGAATACAAGTAGTGCTATCGATTGCAATGGGAAATGTGCACTTGCCTCATCAAATATTCCACCGTCAAAATGTGCTTCATAAGAGGTCTATCGTGCTGTAAATGACTGATGTGAGTACGCTTTTACATAATATCAAGCATTAAATGCCAACAACTTTTTTATCTAGCCTCGGAACCTACTCACATAGAATATAAGTAGCACGGATTATTTGGAATGGAAAATGTAGATTTGAACGAAGTCTGGACACAAAAAGCTACACTTTTACTCTGTAAGTCACTTTGGGCCGAATTGTTGAGTATTTTTCTCTTTTTTTAAATTGTTTTTAAGAGATTTACTGAGAATTCCGCTCAGTTATCTCCTTGAATTGGCGAACTTGGTTGAATTTCCTTTTCCAATAAAATCACACCAGAAGACATCAGCTGTTGCTTGGCTTTGCGGAAGCATTCTGATGGACGGTGTTGCCGAGGCCAGCTTCTTTGAAAGCGTGGAAAGCTGTCGTCTTCCATCTGATGGACATCATCAGAGTTTAATAAGTCAAAAAGCCTCATGTGCTCATCTCAAAATGCCGCATACATTTTTGACGAGGCAAGTTAAAGTCATACAACTCAATTGAGGAGAACGTCTCTTTTTGTGTGTGTTAGTCTGTCGTTATGTGGACAAATCCCAATCGAACCAGCTGAAGTTTTAGCTAAAGTCAATCTGAAATAAACTTAGAATGTCATTTGCCTTGGCATCATTTGGTATTGGACACGTATCCGGTTAGCGTCTGAAGCTGTCTGTCCATGTGTTTGTGTGTGTGTGTTTGTGTGTAGACAAGGGAGGGCCCAAGTTGCCAGGCCTCTTGGGGCCCGCTGGTGCTTGAAACGGGACTCGAGCCCTGTCCCGATTCGTCGCAGGGGAGCGGTTTCGCGGCCAATGCCATTGGCTCCCAGTCGGTCGAGATGGTGTCGTTTTCTGTCTGGCCGCAGTCTCGTTTAGCCTCATCGTGTTGGTTGTACTTGGTCTTGGCAACACGACCGGAGCGCAGCTGCGTTCTGTATCCTCTGCCAGACCATTTGTCGCCTCGAAGCTTGGAAACGTGACTGCAGTTGGTACATTCACGCTGGAACTGATGACTTTTACAAACGCATTCACATGCAATCACTGTTTGTTGGTGTGCAGTTCTGTCGAGTTGCCTACCGAAGGCGGAAATCGCAGATACTACTGAAATGCTTACTTGCGTTTCGACTGTTGATGAGGTGAATTGCTGCAAAGTCGCACGGTCGATGCGGGTGGGTGAAACGGATGTCGCTCGGTTGTCACTGTTGACAGACGCGAGATGACAACTGAGGCGCCGGTAGCACAAAGTGGGGCTCGATTTTCGTGCTATCTTGCCCCTAAACAGCGTGGCAACGACAATAAAACTTGGCGCAAGGAGTCAATTTTGCAAGTTGTAGGCAGAAATATTTTGCTGGGGAAACTGATAAGTTTACGCAACAGAATGAGGCCTTTTCCCAGTCGACACGATGATCTAGATTGTGTGTTATTGTGTGTGTGTGTGCGTGTGTTTAGTGTAACTCGGCGCCGTGGACGCTGCTGGCGAGCGAGGATGGCAGCGGCGGTGAAGAGGAAGAGTCGGCAAACCGGCAAATCGGCAAATCGCAACTTCGAGGCTGCGGGAGGACATTTCGTGGTCTTTCTGAAAGCAGTACCAAGCCGGGAAAATGGGGTCATGCAAGCTGTGTACATGTTAATGTTTTTCTTGCAGATTCTTTGCGATTCATTCTCACAAATGGGCCGTCCAGGTTCGTAAAAGTAGACGACTGTTTACATTCTAACGAGGTGGCGTGTAGTTCACCTTTCTGGAGTGAAGCTAAAAACTCGCTAGCGGTGCAGCCATCTGGGCGCACACGCACACAAATGCGCCCACATCAACGCACCTACACAGTCACCAACTTGTGTGTACGCCATACAGGTTCACACAATCAACCGAATGTGAGGCAAGCAGACAGTAATACAGGTAAACACACAGTCACTAAAATAGACAGACAAATAGATAGATAGATAGATAAATAGATAAATAGATA